AGCAAAAAAAAACATTTACATTTTATGTGACAACATGCCCCTATAGTGTTCTACAATGGGAATTTGCCTTAATAAAATTTAATTAAATGTAGTCATAAAATATAATCTTACAAAAAGAAAATCAAAAATAAAACAATTAATGCAAATATGTGAAAGGTGGCCAACAAATTGAAACTTAATCATTTATAAATTGTGCATATATAATCACGTGACAACCTGCTCTGACCTGGAATGTATACAGTACAGTATATATGTATACACAGTATATAGAGTTATTCTTACATGCATGTCATCTGAGATGTGGTCACTTACTCTGTCTCTCAGAAGTGAGATTGGTAGATGGAGACAGCATTTGTTCTGGAAGGGTGGAGGTTCTTAGAAACAACCAGTGGGGAACTGTTTGTGGAGACAGCTGGGACATGACTGACGCTGTAGTTGTCTGTAAAGAGCTGGGCTGTGGAAGTCCGGTAGAGGTAAACAAAGGTGCTTATGGAAGCGGTATTGGACCAATATGGATGGATGATGTGAAATGTACAGGCACTGAGTCCACGTTGAAGAACTGCAGGTCAAACGGATGGGGAGTACACAACTGTGAGCACACAAACGATGCAGGGGTCGTCTGCCGAGGTGAACTTCCTGACAGCATTTTCTTACTTTACACATATGTTTCCAAAATATATATCCATGTATGACTTTATCATTTTAATTAGGCTGTTTTAATTTTACTCTGACAATTATTCAATATTATAAATTGCAACTAGATTTGGTGCAATTCATAACATACAACTTCTATAGATCCCCTTAGTAAACGTCCATAACAAGAAAATTGTCATTAAAAAAAAATCCACAAAATACACTAGGAATCAGGGCTGCACAATTTGGTGGGGGAAATTAAATTGTGACTTCACTAATAAAAATTGCGATTTATTTTATTTTATTTTATTTTTTTATGGCTGCAAAATTTGGCCAAAAATTGTGAATATATATCAATATGACTATACAAAGAAGAAGAAAAATAAGAAATGACAAAAATAAGAAATATCACTATTGTAATCAGGGTTATTATAGTTAACTAAAAGTAAAACCTTAAAAAAACGTACATTATGTGAAATGAACTTTAACTGAAATAAAATAAAATAGAAAAAAACTTCAAATTACTTTATTTCAGTTAGTTGCCAAAGCAACATTTTTCATTTTCATTTAGTTTAACTTCAGTTTACATAAAATAACTAACACTACAACTGAAATAAAAAATAATAAAAAAATATGCAGGCATTCAAAAACAAAAGAAAGAAAGAAAGAAAGAAAATAACAAAAATGACAAAAACACAACAAAACCACTGAAAATTGAACTTTGATTGACAGAAATTGTAAAAATAAAAACTAATTATATATTATTATTATTAGTAGTAGTAGTAGTAGTAGTATTATTAGCTATAATAATATCTCAGTGATAAAATAACTCTGACTGTAATATTTCAATGTAAAGAAAATAACAATAATAATAATAATACATTTGAAAACATTTTACAATTATGAGCTGCTTATGCGTAAATGAACACAGTGCAGTGCTTCATTTTGAAACACGCAGCACATATGTTTATTTATTTAAATCGCAGCCTTTGTGATTTGATAATTGCACCAAGCCATATCGCAATTTCGGTTTTATTTTGATGAATCACGTAGCCCTACTGGGTATTATTACAATTACAATCAGTCATTAAATTCCATTACAAATACATTGAATTATCATTGTCTGTATGCATAGAGACGGATCAGGAACTCTTCTGACTTCTTTCTAGAGGTGCGGTTGGTGAACACGAACAACAAGTGTCAGGGCACAGTGCAGGTGTATCATGACGGCCGGTGGGGAACAGTGTGCCACAACAGCTGGGATATCGCAGATGGTTTAGTGCTCTGTAGAGAGCTGGGCTGTGGTGGGAACGCACAGCCCTTGGCAAGTGCCTATTTTGGGCCCGGTGATGGGCTGATATGGATGGATTCACTCAGATGCAAAGGTGACGAGTCAAACCTGAGGAAATGCCAGTTTGGTGGGTGGGGAAACCATCAATGCATTCATGCATATGATGCAGGAATCATCTGCAGAGGTGCGTCCATGTCCAAACCTATACAGTACATCAGTTCTCTATGGAAGCTTGTTTGTTTTTCTCACAATTCTCACAGTTTATCTCTCACATTTCAGATTTTTTCCCCTGAAATTCTGAAGAAAAAAGTCTGAATTACTAGATATAAACTCTGAATCATGAGCTGCTCGCGTGTAAATGAACACAGTGCCTCGCTTCACTCTGAAACACCTTTGCAATCTGATAAATACAATTCTGAGTTTCTATCTCTTGCTATTCTGAGAAAAAAAGTCCAAACTGTGGGATAAAAAGTTGCAAGTACCTTTTTTTATTGTTTTTTTTTTCTGTGGCGGAAAAAAACAACAACAAAAAAACTGTGAAATGTAAATTCAGAATCCGAAGAAAAATGTTAGAATTGCTAGATATAATCTCGGAAATGCGATAAAAGGCAGAATTCTGAGTTCATATTTCACAATTCTGATTTGTTTTTGTTTTTTGCAAGAATTGCGAGAACAAAATCTGAATTGTGAGATAAAAAGTCACAATTACAAAAAAATAAAAAAACTGCAAATGTAAACTTATAACCCTGAGGAAAAAAGACAGTATTGCAAGAAGTAAACTCGGAATTGCGAGAAAAGGGCAGAATTCTGAGTTTATATCTTGCATGCCTGACTTTTTTTCTTCGAATTCTGAGGTTACATTTTGCAATTTTGTTCAGTGGAAAAGTCTGATTTGTGAAATAAAAAGAAATACAGAAATGACCTTTTATTATTTAGGCTTCCATAGTTCTCTGCATTTGCAAATATTAACCAGAAAACTATTTCTATGCAAACATAAAATGATAAACAAAAACAATATCACATAATAAAATAGGCTACTTAGCTGTAGTTATCTGATACAACAAATACAAAACAAAAAAAATATGTGGTTCGGTTATCTTGATTGAAGTCAGTACATCAGATTTTATCACCATATCATATTGCTATAAACAATATCTGTCTTTTATAGAAATTAAAAATGTGCTCAGGATTGAGGTGAACGCTGACTCTGGCGCAAACCCCAACGACCCTTCACACATGACAAAACTACTGGACAAAGTAACAAATATTTCTAATTCAATTACATTTTTCTTTGTATGTCTATTCTTGCCATTGAGTGTCTGTGGTCTCATTCATCTGAATTGCACAGATCAAGGAAGAGCTCAAAAACTCCGGAAATTTCTCTGTCACGTGGAGAACTCAGTTGAATGGGCAGGTGTTTCAGGAAAAGAAATTATTTGATCCCTGACAGGTTTGTAAACTCTTTCTGAATGGGCTTATTTTAAAGATGGAACTTGAATATAGAAATTCAGATCTTCATTCAAATTGTTGCAGGTCTGTTATTTGGAAAGGAGCCATAGAAGAAATGACTTTTCATGACAAATTCAACAGAACAACTGCTCTTGTAGAATCATCCTGATGATGAAGAAATTCTAGAAGTGTTTATAAACTAAAAAGGTTTAATATATTTCACAGCATATGAAATAAAGCATACTGTGAAGAACTTTTTTTTTAGGTTACAGCAGGTCAGCGTCAGTGAAGGTTTGTAATCATTTCGAGTGCATTGATACTTCTGTGTCACTGGCCATTGTTTAATTACTTTCATTGGTTGGAGGTGAAAGGAAAATAAAAATGTGAAACTGATTTTCTTTACTTGTTAAATGTTTATTTGCTTTCTGATTTAATATATTTCTTATATTCATACACCAACCTTCTAAAATAAGTCAGATAATTTGCTTAACTGTGTATTCATTTATATGGTGTTACATTTCATTACACAAACAAATGTTTCCAGAATAAAGCAGATGAATCTTTTTTTTTTTTATTCTAGTAAATAAATAAATAAATAAATAAATGAATATAAATATAAATAAATACAATTCTAAGTTATTCTACTTTGTTCTTCTTCCTGAATTTGCACCAGTACATTATATACGCATTTATTTTCCATATATACAGTTTTCAGTATTGTAGAGTGAAGCAACAGAAAGATTAGCATTATGTCGTTATAATTAGGATTTGACGGTGTGCAATAGGTGCTCATACACCCGAAATCCCGCTGCTTGCACATGCACAGCTCTTAGTAGCGGTTATAAATATTATAAACATTAATATATGTCATAGGCTGTATACAATAAATATTACGCACGCACTAAGGTGAGCCACATGACTTCTCCCCTGCTTTCACACACACACACACACACACACACACACACAAGCCTACCTTTCAGAAGCGAGTGACGGGCTTTAAAACTAATTTGTCATCACCAGCAGCAAAAGTCGTCATCTTTTGTATTCATGTACAGACAGTTTAATTCGCTTTGAAGGCAGTTTTGGATGTACTTCAGGGTGTTTTGCATGTAGACTGCTGATGCCGCTCTAAGGTAGAGGCGAGGGGAGGCAGTAGCGGCACTATGAAGGAAAGTTCATTTAGATTTATATTTAGAAATAAAATCTTTCTCCTTCTTGCTGTCCTGACTGTACAGCTGCCTAGTTCACCCTTCGGCATGCTTTAGCCCTGTCTGTGAATATAACAGGTTTATGATTAAAATCAATAATGCATATATATTTACATATATTTTAAAAAGAGACTCCAACACCTCTCAGTTTACAAACCTGTGGCTGTTCTCTGCTGGTGGAATACCTGCTCATCAGGCTGTGATCTCCAGTTCACACTATACTTCCCTTTACTTTCAACCACATGCCTCATCTGTGAAATTCAGTGAAATTGTAGAAAGAAAACACTCAAGCTAGAGTAATTACACATATTGAGCACACTTTTTTGTCCTTTCACTTTATCAAAAGGTTAAAACTTCATCCATTTTATCCATCTATCTATCTATCTATCTATCATTGCACAGATGTACTTCAGGGTGTTTTGCATGTAGACTGCTGATGCCGCTCTAAGGTAGAGGCGAGGGGAGGCAGTAGCGGCACTATGAAGGAAAGTTCATTTAGATTTATATTTAGAAATAAAATCTTTCTCCTTCTTGCTGTCCTGACTGTACAGCTGCCTAGTTCACCCTTCGGCATGCTTTAGCCCTGTCTGTGAATATAACAGGTTTATGATTAAAATCAATAATGCATATATATTTACATATATTTTAAAAAGAGACTCCAACACCTCTCAGTTTACAAACCTGTGGCTGTTCTCTGCTGGTGGAATACCTGCTCATCAGGCTGTGATCTCCAGTTCACACTATACTTCCCTTTACTTTCAACCACATGCCTCATCTGTGACATTCAGTGAAATTGTAGAAAGAAAACACTCAAGCTAGAGTAATTACACATATTGAGCACACTTTTTGTCCTTTCACTTTATCAAAAGGTTAAAACTTCATCCATTTTATCTATCTATCTATCTATCTATCTATCATTGCACACATTGTTTGATAAAAGTTAACATGAATCTTACCATATCCAGAAGCTTATTCTTGATATCTGGGTCATTGACATTGACTCCAATCTCGGCCTTCACCACAATCCTCACCACAACTCGTCTCACAGTTGCTGTGAAGTGAAACATTGACAAGGAAGAATGATTTGTCATAATGACATCTTGTCATTGCATTTGTCAGGAAAACTGGGATGTGAATGACATTCTCAACCCTCATCTTGTGGTTAAAAACCAGGTATAACTTCTGTGTTAGGGGTCAAATTGACAATGATTTTCAGGCAATCTGCCAAAAATACACTATGGAAAATGCTACAGATTCATGTAAAAACACAAAACATCTATTGTGTCCTATCTGAGACGAAAAATATAAAATTGGCAAGAAATTTAAAATCTGTTTTTATTGTATTATTTTTTATTGTTAAAGGTCAATTTGACCCACACATCTATATGTTCAGAATTATCTGAGGTGCAAAGAATAAATAACATCTAACATAATTTTGTACTTCTTAAACCCTCCCTTGTGAGGGTAAAAATGGTTTCTCATTCTCTTCGATGCTGCAACAGTCTAGTAATTGAGATCTAAAAAACTAACAACAAACAAACTTTGGCAGAATTGTTTTGACTGTGAAATTTGCCAGTGAATTTACCTTGGATTATTCAGAATGGCTGCAATATAACAAAGAGTGAAAAATTTAAGGGGGTCTGAATACTTTCCGTACCCACTGTATTTCATATTTTAGTGTCTGACGAGTTAAAATAAAGTTTTTTTTTTAACCTGACTCTTTAGTGTTTTTCAGAGTGTTGATTTTTTTCAAAATGCATGGAAACCACTGAGGGTCAATGGGGAGTCTATATGACCCCAATACAAAGATTTCCAAAATTTCCACCTATGATTTCCATCTATGTGTTGAACCTTTGCATGCACATTCATGACCCTAAATGAGAAATATTCACCAAATTTCAAGAAGAAATAAATAGTTTAACCAGTATTTCTAGCAGTTTGAAAATCGAGTGTAGGTCAAATTGACCCCAACACAACAGGAAGGTTAAGCTGTACATCATTTGAGAGGCTCACATGTAAGTTGAACTTACTTTGGCAAAAAGCTCCCGCATGAAGCCCATTCAAACAACTGCTCACACCCCATCCGGTAAAAGGACAGTCCTGCACCGTAAACTCATTTCCTGTACAGGCCAGTTCATCCATCGATGTTTGCCCTGAAGTTTCCACATACTCTTTCAGCTCTGCAGTGTCTCCACAATCCAGCTCTCGACACAACACTGTAGCATCTGCTAGATCCCAGCCCGAGTGACACACTGCGCCCCACTGCTCATTATACCGAATCTGAACTCTGCCATCACACTCACTGGAACCATCGACCAGCTTCACATCTGTCGAAAGAGCTTTACATGTTAACACTTGCAATAATAATAAGCAATAATACTGTTTGCGTGATGTCTGTACAGTTCACAGTCTGTACAGTTTACAGAAACTGATGTGCCATTTTTGAAAGAAATGTGCTTTAAATCTATTATTTTATTATAAATCTATTATCCCAGCATTATCAATTTTGAATTTGCATACATGTAAATTTGAGTTTTGACTAAACTATACTAAGTTTATTGACTTAAAAGAATAATTCACCAAAAATGAAAATTATGTTATCTTGAAAGCAGTGGTAACACTTTATAATAAGATCCCATTAGTTAAAGTTAGTTATGAGCATATGTTTTTATAGTATTTATTAACCTTCAAATAAAAATACAACACTCTTTTGGTTCTCCAGAGAACCAATCAGTAAATAACCATTTTAATAATCTGAATAACTTTTCTTCTGCTATAAAGAACCTTTTGTGGAATGTAAAGTTTCTATAAATGTTAACGGTTCTTAATGGAACCATCAATGCCAATAAAGAACTTTTATTTTTAAGAGTGAACTGTTCATTGTTAGGGTTGGGTATCGTTTGGTTTTTTTTCGATACAGGTGCCAAATCGATAAATAATAAATAAATAAATAAAAATTCCCCCCAAAAATGATGGATTGGCCATTAGCACTATAAACACATGATGTCTGTTTCATTCATACTGGACGCCAGAGGGCGCCCTTGCACAGAAAATCCACATATCCAGTCACAGAAGTAGAGAACTCATGACCCTCCAGGAAATCCCTTATATGGAGTCATTATTTATAATAAATAAAAAGAAAATAAGTGGAAAGAATAGAGAAAGAATAGAGAATGCTAGTGTTAGAGGCTCCTTTTTCTTTATAAATAAAACAAGTAGTTAGAATAGTAGAGTGAATCTAAACAAGTAAATAGAATAGAGAGTGCAAATGTTAGAGGGTCAAGTTTTTTAATA